GTTAACTGAGTGCCAGAGAATTGTTACTCAATGACAGACAGAATTGTTACGGAGTGCCAGAGAATTGTTTACTTTCGGCCAACAGAACTTTCTACTTAGGGCCACAGAATTGTTTACTGCGCACAGACAGCACAGAATTGGTTACATGCACCGCACAGACACAGAACTGATTAACTGAGGGCCACAGAAACTTTACTTAAGGGCCCACAGAATTGTGTTTAACAGTCCAACAGACACAGAAATTGTTACTCAGGACACAGAATTGTTACTCAGGGACCACATAATCGGTTTAAATTAAAGAGTAAATGTCAGCCCAACATGCAGAGGAGTTGGCAGAGAGGAGGCAATGTTATTAGGAGGCGAGGCGGAGAGACGTGGCAGCAGAGGAAGGTGGTCGACTGGCAGCACTAATTCGCAGCCAGAGGCCAGTTGCTTACCCCGGTTTGTCATCCCAGGCGGTCGTGTACTCCCACGACAACCCTGCCCGTCGTCGATTGATATTGGCGTCGGCTCGTCCTTCCTCTTCCCAGAGTCACCTCTGACACGCCTTACAAGCCAACGGCTCGGTGGGTGAGCCGTCAGACACAAGCCGAACCGTTAGTTGGCATGGCCCCGGGACCAAGGCCCACTGAAATCACGTGTCCTCTACCTGCCCCTGTTCCTTTGGTTGTTCCCTCACCAAGCGAAGTATCTCGATGCTGTTGGGCCTCCAGCCCCACGAGTACAAGTTTTTTTTGGAGGAAGAAGAGACTAACAGAGGGCGGTCAAGGAGAACCGGGTTGTAGACATCCGCCATTTTCAGCAGCCAGGCGAAAGAAGTAAGTTGGCGATGAGGAGTGGCACGGTTAGCCCGGTCTAGAGGACAGGTCTTGTTCTCCTGAACCAGACGCAGCCGGAGGGGGCTAGTAGAGTTGAGGCGTGAGACCCTACTTGATGATGAGGAGGTTAGATCGCACTTGGGCAGCCTCGTCGTCATCAGGCAATTTCTTATCTTCCGCCATCATCTAGGAGAAGAGGGTGGCAGAGCTTTGCAGACGAGAGCAAAACCGTCGGTGTGTTGCCCAGTGAGACAGCAGCAGGGTCGCCAGACAGTGTCAGTTGGAGCCAAACGTGCCACGGAGTAGAAGCACCAGCTCCACTGCAGCTAGCCACCACGTGCCAAGTAGTGGATGCCGGAGGTGTGCACGGAGTGGAAGCAGCAGTCAGCCAGGGAGGGAGTATCGGGGGCCAAGATTTCCTACTCCGAGCCCGGTTTTGTGGCAAATTTTTTGTCAAGCCGCCCGAGGAATGAAACGATAGCCGTATGGTTCGACTATGTGGCCAGAAAGGTCAAGCGTGGCCAGGGGGGGCCCATGTTGGGAGACTACAGCGATGCGGGCGCAGCATAATGCACTAGCGTCGTCGCCAATTTGGTGGCGCCTGGGAAAATACGTGATAAAGATACCGGGGCGTTCTGCCCGCACCCAGCCCCCGCTCATCAACACCCGGCCTCCGTTACTTGCTCACGTCACCCGACGTCAATCGCCCTCCATCAGCCAGGTCAAGGCTCCAACAACTCTGCTGAGGGGAGTTGATCGCTACGTTGGCATCTTCCGCTCGTTTCAGATGCTCCTTCTCCTGCTACTCCTCTTCACACGGGATTTCCCGTCAGCAGTCCTTTTCTTGGAATCCGTTTTTCCAAAGAGACAGACAGTTTGCTTGAGCACGCACCCGACGGTGCTAAAGCTGTGAACGTCCTCCTGTCCAAGGTTTGCTGGTCTGCAGAGCCAAGTCCCTTCCCTTTCCACGTGGTGTGGACTCAGCAACCTTTTCAGAGTAATGATTTGCTTGTGCCGGTCGCCTGCGGTGGAGAGGTGCCAAGCTCCGTCATTATTCTCTTCGCCAAAAAGGCAGTGCCAGCCCTGCATTCATCATGTAGCAAGAACATGGTGGCGCCAGTCTATGAGCATGTCGCGGGTCTCTAGCCAAATGTTGCACGGCGAGCGTGCCGACCTTTGTGGAGCTGTAACTATGGTCATGGACAGTACATGTCATATTACTGGAGCCCACAGCGTGGCTGAAAACGTCGGTGCCTGTCGAACAGCCGCCACCAGCAACTTTGGTACAGGTCACGCCGCTTTTGCCTCCACGTTTGGGGGTCACGTCCTTGGTCCGGGCAAAGATGACCCCGCCTCTAACCACCTCTTCTTCCGCCCGTGTCCTCTGCCGCCACCGCCGTGCCAAGTACCCATTAGCCCGACGGAATATCACGAAAGTGCAGGGCGCAACGGTGTCCAACCTGCTGTTCTGCACCTGGTTATGCCGTGGTTGCGAACCGTAGTACATCAAACAGGGGAGGAATGGAACTTCTGAGTGATAAATGAAACAGAGAAATCGACAGATTGGCTGTTTCCACCTGTCCGCGCAATCTGAAAATCGGAACCATGTTGACCGACAACGGAAAGAACATGGTGTTGCTTCACAGCGTCCAGGAAGGTTGTAGCATGTCGCCCTGCATGGCTCACGTGAGTTCAATCTGGGTGTCAACGCTGTTACTTACAATCCCACCATCCCACTTGCAATGACATCTTAAAATGTCTCGTAAACTTTGCATGCATTTCAGACCATATCCTACACCGCAACAGCACACCCCTCCTGAGCATGCAGGCGGCCCCCAGGCCAGAACGGAATTTCCACAGCATCGCACTGGATCTGCGAGTTTGTGCAACAAGTGTGAATTCAACCCTAGACACATGATTAGCCCCGCCTTTTACGGAACACTTGCGAAAGGCCATCACCGATTTTAGATGATACATAGCGGATAAAATGTACACCCATGTGTAACTTACGATGTTCAGCCATTGGCAGCTCATGCTGGAGACACCTCTGCCACTCGTGCTCAGGCCCTCTGTGAGGAGTGAGCCACGACTATTCTGTGAGTCGGCAGGACTATTGGACATGGGTAACGACGTCCAATTTATTCCTCATGTAGCACTGTCCATTGAACAAAACTTGCTGCTTAAAAACAATGGCTGGTCAGGGTTGTACGGTTAGAACGATGGCGCACAGATCACATCTCAACGGCCACATGACTCCTGTGGGTGGCAGGGACCGGAAGAAGAGTGAGGAGGTAGAGAGTATGACATAATTGTGCTCAGGGAATTATTGAGATGAAAATGGGTGGTTTGTCCCACTCAGCGGAACAGGGAGTGGGAGGAGGCAGGAGAGCATCTGGTAGAGGAGGAGGAGGAGGAGGAGAGAGAGACAGAGGACCCAGAACGCACCGTCGTGGCCATTTTGTATGCTGTGGGAGATGGAGTGCAGGGTAAGTCCCTCGCATTTCCTTGGGCACAAATGGGCCCATAGCATGGCTCGGGCGTTGTGCTTTGCGTAGCGACAGCCGAATAATAATACCATCAGACAGAGGGATGACTTTTTGGCTGTCCACCTTGTTGGACCCTCGGCTATCCCCAGTTTCCAAAATTGGTTGGCCCTTTTTTCACACCTGCTGATGAGAGGGAGGGCCCAAAAATATCGTACTAAATAAAAACCACCACTATGTAGTCCATGTTGGTCTCTGCCTTATGTGGCGCCAAAACGTGTCCATCCTCATACCACTGTTGGGCCCTGTTGCGCCTCCGTCGCGCCGTTCCGCTGCCCATGGCAGCAGTGGAGGGGTGGAGGGTGGTAGTAGCAGTGGCTAGCTCCACCAGTCAGCGGCCTTGCCTTCAGTCTGCCAGTCGCTGATGAGTAGCTTATTCACCAGCGCTCCCTGGAGTGAGGGAAAACTTACATAACCAGCCGCAGCAGCAAGCAGCACAGCAGCATCAGGTGGACCTGGAGCAGCGGACCTCAAACAACAGGCTTGGGCTACTTGGAAACAGCACGCCTGCCAAAACGAGGAAAGACAATCCCCTTGGACTACTGGGGCAACGAAACTTGACCTTTGGCCCCAATCTAGCTGAATTTGCCCTTGAACAGGCTGTCATGCCCTGCCAGTAGCGTGGCATCGGAGCGCGTGTATAGTGCTGGCAGGAGGGTATTGTTAACTGCTGCATGAGTGAATCGCGACCTGGTCACACCCAAAGTGTTGGAAGAGAACTCACGTTTAGTGGAAAAATGAATCAGGCCGTGGATTTAGTCATGTGAATTTCAAACCACCAGTTCCTGACAACCACTGACTAAATCGCCGCCATGAATACATGCCTTCAAATCAATGTGCCACTTATGATGGTCTCCTCACACACTGTGCTGGTGTGAGTAGTATTTTTTGACATAGGGTGGCTGGCAGATTACGGTCCTCCCATAGCTGCTGCCAGGCCCCTATAATCCTGTCCATAGGCCCCCTTAATATACCCGCCTCCTCATGGGCTGCTACGCCAGTGTCCAGTAGTCTCACTCATGGGTCCCTGTACCGGCCTCCATGGATCTGCATGTCTCCATCGCCACACTCTGCCACAGTGCCACTATCAGGTCTCCTCACACACTGCTGGTGATGTTAGAATTTTTTTGACATAGTGTGTTGGCAGATTACGGGCCTCCCATTGCTGCAGCTTGCCGAGCCCCTAATCTGCCATGGGCCCCTATATTACCGCATCCTCATTGCTGGCTGCCCAGTCCAGAGTCTCTCATGGGTCCCTGTAACGTGGCCTCCCCATTGCTGTCTGTCTCCATCGCCCACACTCTTGCCATGTGCCACCTTTTCAGAGTCTCCTCACACACTGCTGGTTGTGTAGAAATTTTTTGACATTAGGTGCTGCGCAGATTACGGGGCCTCCCATAGCTGCTGCCAGGCCCCTATCTGCCATGGGGCCCCTATATACCCGCCTCCCTCAGATGCTCGCTGCCAGGTACCACAGTGTCTCATTTGCCATGTGCCACTTATCAGGTCTCCTCACACTGTGCGTGTGTGTGTAAAATTTATTGAACATAGGGTGCTATGACAGATCTTATGGGCCTCCTCTAAAGCTGCTGCCAAGGCCCCTAATCTGCCATAGGCCCCCTATTATACCGCTTTCCCTTCATTGCTAGCTGCCAGGTTCCAGAGGTTCTCTCATGCGGTCCCTGTAACGGCCTCCCATTGCTGCTGTCTCTCCATTCGGCCACACTCTGCCATGTGCCACTTTCAGGTCACCTCACACACTGCTGGTGTGTTATGAATTTTTTGACATAGGGTGCTGGCAGATTCGGGCCTCCCCATTGCTGTGCTGCCAGTTCCCCTAATCAGCCATAGGCCCCTATATACCGCCTCATGCCTCATCATCGCTGTCATGGGCCAGCCTCCACTGTGTCTGCATGCTTTGTAGTGTGCCACTTTCAGGTCTCCTCACACTGCTGGTGTGTTGAATTTTTTGACATAGGGTGCTGGCAGATTACGGGCCCTCCTTATAGCTGCTGCCAGGCCCCTAATCTGCCATAGGCCCCTATATACCGCCTCCTCATGCTGCTGCCAGGTCCAGAGTCTCACAATGGGTCCTGTGTACGGCCTCCCGATTGCTGCTGTCTCCATCGCCACACTCTGCCATGTGCCACTTTCAGGTTCCTCATACACTGTGCTGGTGTCGTAGAATTTTTTGACATAGGGTGCTGGCAGATTACGGGCCTCCCCATTGGCTGCTATGCCAGGCCCCTAATCTGCCATAGGCCCCTATTAATACCGTCCTCTCCTCATGCTGTATGGGTGCCAGGTACGGCCACAGTGTCTCATCGCCACACTGCCATGTGCCACTTTCAGGTCTCTACCACTGCTGGTGTGTTGAATTTTTTTGACATAGGGTGCTGGCAGATTACGGGCCTCCTATAAGCTGCTGCCAGGCCCTAATCTGCCATAGGACCCCTTATATACCGCCTCCTCATGCTGCTGCAGGTCCAGAGTCTCTTCATGTGGTCCCTGTACGGCTCCCATTGCTGCTGTCTCCATCGCCACACTCTCTGCCATGTGCCACTTTCAGGTCACCTCCTCACACACTGCTGGTGTGTAGAATTTTTTGACATAGGGTGCTGGCAGATTACGGGCCTCCTCTAGCTGCTGCCAGGCCCCCTAATCTGCCATAGGGCCCCCTATATACCCCTGCCTCCTCATGCTGCTGCCAGGTCCAGAGTCTGTCATGGGTCCCTGTTACGGCCCTCCATTGCTGGCTGTCGTCCTATCGCCACACGTCTGCCATGTGCCACTTTCAAGGTCTCCTCACACTGCTGGTGTGTTAGAATTTTTTTTGACATATGGTGCTGGCAGATTACGGGCTCTCCTATAGCTGCTTGCCTAGGCCCCTAATTCTTGCCATAGGTCCCCTATATACCGACTCTCTCATGCTGCTGCCAGGTCCAGAGTCTGCTCATGGGTCCCCCCTTGTACCGGCCTCCCAATTGCTGCTGTCTTCCAATCGCCACACTTCTGCCATGTGCCACTTTCAGGTCTCCGCACACTGCTGGTGTAGTAGAATTTTTTGACATAGGTGAGCTGGCAGATTACGGGCCTACCAATAGGCTGCTGCCAGGCCCCTAATCTGCCCATAGGCCCCGCTATATACCCGCCTCCTCATAGCTGCTTGCCAGGTCCAGAGTTCTGTATCATGTGTCCCTGTAACGGCCCTCCCAATATTGCTGCTGTCTCACATCGGGCCACACTCTGCCATGTGCCACTTTCAGGTCTCCTCACACTGGCTGGTGTGTAGAACTTTTTTGACATCGGGTGCTGTGGCAGATTACGGGCCTCCTATAGCTGCTGACCAGGCCTAAATCTGCCATAGGCCCCTATATACCGCCTCCTCATGCTGCTTGCCAAGGTCCCAGAGGTCTCTCATGGGTCCCTGTACGGCCTCCCAATTGCTGCTGTCTCCGATCGCCACACTCTGCCATGGTGCCACTTTCCAGGTCTCCCTCACATTGCAGGTGTGTAGAATTTTTTTGACATTAGGTGCTTGGCCAGAAAAATTTATTATACGGGCCTCCCATAGCTTCCTGCCTGCCAGCTCCTAATTCTGCCATAGGCCCGACTATAATACCACGCCCTCCTCATGCTGCTCTGGCCAGGTCCAGAGACTGTCATGGGTCCCTGATACGGCCCTCCATTGCTGCAGTCTCCATTCGCCACAGCTCTGCCATGCTGCCACATTCAGGTCTCCTGCACACACTGCTGGTGTGTAGAATTTTTTGACATAGGGTGCTTGCCGTATTACGGGGCCCTCCCATAGCTGTCTGCCAGGCCCCCTAATCTTGCCATTAGGGCCCCTATATACCGCCTCCTTCATGCTGCTAGAGCCAGGTCCAGAGTCTGTCATGGTCCCTGTTACGGCCTCACATTGCTGTGCTGAGTCTCACATCGCCCACATCTCTGCCATGTTGACCACTTTCAGTGTCTCATCACACACTGATGGTGTGGATTGAAATTTTATGACGATAGGGTGCTGGCAGATTACGGGCCTCCCATAGCTGGTCTGCCTGGCCCCTAATCTGCCATGGGGCCCCTATATACCGCCTCCTCATGCTGCTTGCCAGGTCCACAGTGTCTCATGCCGATGTGTGCCACTTTCAGGTCTCCACACACTGCTGGGAGTAGATGTGTCTGAATTTTTTGACATAGGGGTGCTGGCAGATATAGGGGCCTCCTATAGCTGCCTTGGCCAGGCCCCTAATCTGCCATAGGCCCCATACTATACCGCCATCCTCATGCTGCTGCCAGGTCAGTCTAGTCTCTCATGGGGTCATGTACGGGCCCTCCCATTGCCTGCTGTCTCCATCGCCACACACTCTGAAATGTGCCACTTTTCAGGTCTCCTCACACTACACTGCTGAGGTGTGGTAGAATTTTTAGACATAGGGTGCTGGCCAGATTACGGGACCACCCATAAGCTGCTGCCAGGGCCCCTTAATCTGCCATAGGCCCCTATATACCGCCTCTACTCATGTCTTGCTGGCCATGTCCAGAGTCTTGTTCATGGGTCCCTGTACGGCCTCCCAATGGATGCTGTCTCCATCGCCACAGGCCACACCTCAGCCATGTGCCACTTTCAGGGTCTCCTCACAAACACTGCTGGTGTGTTCGAATTTTATGACACATTAGGGTGTGCTGGCAGATTACGGGCCTCCGCATAGCTGCTGCCAGGCCCCTTAATCTGCCATAGGCACCCTATATACCGCCGACCTCATGCTGCTGCTGCCAGGGTCCATCAGATGTCTCATGCCATGTGCCAACTTTCAGGTCTCCTCACACTGCTGGTGTGTTGAACTTTTTTGACATAGGTGGTGCTTGGCAGATTATGGGCCTCCTATAGCCTGCTGCCAGGCCCCTAATTCTGCCATAGTGCCCCTATATACCCATACCGGCCTCTCATGCTGCTGCCGAGGTCCACGAGTCTGTCATTGGGTCCCTGTAAGGCCTTCCCCATTGCTGCTGTCTCCATCGCCACAGCTCTGCCATGGTGGCCACATTCAGGTCTCCTCACACACTGCTGGTTGTTGTAGACTTTTTTGACATAGGATGCTAGGCAGATTAACGAGTCCTCCCATAGCTGCTGCCAGGACCCTAATCTTTACATGGTGCCCCTAATATACCCCATGCCTCCCTCATGCTGCTGCCGAGTTCGCACAGTGTCTCATGCCAGTGCCACTTTCAGGTCTCTCTCTACCACGCTGGTGTAGTTGAATTTTTTTGACATAGAGGTTGCTGGCAGGATATATGGGGCCCTCCCTATAGCTGCTGCCAGGGCCCCTAATCTGCCATAGGCCCCTAGATACCCGCCTACCTCATGCTGCTGCCAGGTCCAGAGTCTGTCATGGGTCCTCTGTAACGGGCCTCCCAAATTGCTGCTTGTCCTCCATCGCCACAACTCTGCCATGTGGTCACTTTCAGGTCTCCTCACACACTGCTGGTGTTGTAGAATTTTTTTGACATAGGGTGCTGGCAGATTACGGCCTCCCATAGCTGCTGCCAGGCCCCTAACAGTCTGCCATAGGCCCCTATATACCTGCCTCCTCATGCTGCTGCCGATGTCCAGAGTCCTGTCATGGGTCCCTGTACGGACCTCCCATTGCTGCTGTCTCCATCGCCACACACTCTCTGCCATGTGTCCACTTTCAGGTCTCCTCACAACCCACTGCGGGTGTGTGTAGAATTTTTTGACATAGGGTGCTGGCAGATTACGTGGCCTTCCCATAGCTTGCTGCCAGGCCCCTAATCTGTCCATAAGGCCCCTATATATCCGCATCCACATGCTGTTTAGTTTGCTGCTCTGCCAGGACCAGAAGTCTGTCATGGGTCCCTGTACGGCCTCCCAATTGCTGCTGGAGTCTCCATCGCCACACTCTGCCATGTGCCCATATATTTCAGGTCTCATCACACTGCTGGTGTGTAGAATTTTTTGACATAGGGTGCTGGCAGATTACGGGCCTCCCATTGCTGCTGCCAGGCCCCTAATCTTGCCATGGGCCTCCCCTATTACCGCCTCCTCATGCTGCTGCCAAAGATCCAGAGTGTATTCGCATGGGTACCCTTCGTAACGCGCCGTCCCATTTGCTGCTGTCTCCATAGCCACAACTCTGTGGCCATGTGCCACTTTCACGTGTCTCCACACACTGGGGGCTTGTTGGTGTGTTGAATTTTATGACATAGGGTGCTCGGCAGATGTACGGGCCTCCCATTGCTGCTGACCAGGACACGTAATCTGCCATGGGCCCCCGTTACCGACTCCTCATGCCTGTGACGTTTTGCAACATGGTGGTATTCAACCCTACATATGTGTAAGAACCGCCTATTACGAACAGCGAGAAATGCTCATCACCGAAATATTTTCCTGATGGTTAAAAGGCGATTAGAAGGTTACTCCCTTTGTAACTTAGAATTGTCAGCCATAGGCAGCTCATGGCGTGGACACACTGCTGCTTTGCTCTGGCCCTTAGAGGAGTGCCACGCTATTCGTGAGTCGGGAGGACGCTATGACTATGGGGATGAACGACGTCCATTCCTCTTGTGCACGTCCTGGAACAAATGCTGTTTAAACATGGCTGGTTACCATGGTGTGCGGTAGACGTGGCGCACAGATCTCAACGCCCACATGACCCCCCTGTGGGGGGCAGGACAGGCAGAAGAGGAGGATGTAGAGTGATGGAACATTGGTGGCTCAGGAATTAATTGAGTGAAATGGAGTGGTTTTTTCCACTCAGCGTACGAAGGAAGTGGAGGAGCAGGAGCATTCTGGGTAGAGGTAGGAGGAGGAGGAGACAGGAGGACCCAGACGCACCCGTGGCAGTATGCTGGGGGTGGAGATGGAACGGCCAGGGAGTCACTCGCATTACCTGTGGCACAAATGGCCCATAGCATGCTCGCTTGTCTTGCGTAGCGGACCAGCCGAATAATAACCATCCAGACAGGAGGGATGGAATTTTGGGCTGTTCCACCTAGTTGGTCCCTGCCCGCGACCGAGTCTCAATAAAATGGATGGCCCTTTTTCACACCTGCTGAGAGGAGAGTGCCAAAATAACGGTACTATGAAAAAACACTCCTATGTAGTCAGCTGGTCTCCTGCCTGTCTGCGCCAACGTCCATACTTCAGTCACTGTGGGGGCCCTGTGCGCTTCGGTGCGTTTCCGCATGCCATGGCAGCAGGGGAGGGGTGGGCGGATGGTAGGAGCCAGCAGTGCAGCTCCACCAGCAGCGGCTGCCTCAGTCTGCAGTCGATGATGAGTAGCTTTCTTCACCAAGCGCAGTGAGGAAAACTACAACGCAGCGCGCATGCTGCAGCAGCAGCAGCAGCATCAGGAGCGACCTGGGAA